TTGCTGCGCAGTACTAGGTTCCTGGATTCCCTCCCTCCATGTATTTATTTATTGATTTGCTGCATTTATATCCTACCTTCTTCTCCAAGGAGCTCAGGATGGTGTCCATGGTCCTCCTCTCCTCATTTCATCCCCACAACAGCCCTGTGTGGTAGGTAGGTTAGTCTGAGAAAGGCAGTGACTAGCCCAGGGACATCCAGTGAGTTCCATGGCTGAATGGGGTTTTGAACCCTCATCTCCCGGATTCACTACATCACACTGGCTGTCAAAAGGGTTGACCAACCTTGTAAATTTATTTATTCTTATTTACTTCTAACATTTACACCCTACCTTTCCTGCAAGGAGCTGAAGGTGATGTTATACATAGTTCTCCTGCTCCCCCATTTTATCCTCACAAGAAGTTGCTGGAAGCCACAGCAGATGGAGAATTGGCCTTGTGTTCCTGTCCTGCTTGCAGGCTTTCCACAGGCCATAGGAGCCAACTTCAGGGGGCCATTGGTGCTTGGGCACCCACAATAATATAATTGTGGGAGCTGGGCACCCACAAAGTCATTGAGAGAAGGCGGCAGGCGGCAGCGGCGCTGCCACTGAGAGGGGTGGGGGTGGGCTTGGACATAGAGACAGAGTCTCTCCCCTCTCCACAGAAAAGAATGCCTTGCTGGCTGTGGAGCGGCTGACGCCGGCCACCACAATGTGGGTGTGTGATATCACACACACACACCTGCATGTAGCAAAAAGGTAAAGGACCCCTGGATGGTTAAGTCCAGTCAAAGGCAACTATGGGGTTGCGGCGCTCATCTCGCTTTAGGCAGAGGGAGCCAGCGTTTGTCCACAGACAGCTTTCCAAGTCATGTGGCCAGCATGACTAAACTGCTTCTGGCGCAACAGGACACCATGACGGAAACCACGGGAACATCATTTACCTTCCTGCCGCAGCGGTACCTATTTATCTACTTGCACTTCGTGCTTTCGAACTGCCGAGCAACGGGAGCTCACCCCGTCAAGGGGATTCGAATCGCCGACCTTCTGATTGGCAAGCCCAAGAGGCTCAGTGGTTTAGATCACAGCGCCACCCGCGTCCCATGCAGGTGTGCGCAGGTGTCCATGTGCAGGTGTGTGCGTGTGACGTCGCATGTCTGTGTGGTGGTGGCGAGCACCCACAATCCTGAGGGCGAGGTGGCACCCCTACCACAGACCTCTGGCTGGCCACTGTGAGAGCAGGATGCTGGACTAGATGGGCCACTGGCCTGATCCAGCAGGCTCTTCCTATGTTCTTAAAACCAAGACACAAATATATTAAATAAAGAACTCCCCCCCCGTCTCAGCTCACCTGGGGCAGCAGAAAAGCCTGGCAGTCGCCTAGCTCTCTCTCTCCCCCCCCCCCACGACATCACGGCGTGAGTGAACGCGGGCGCCCCTAGCGGTGGAGACGCGCCGGGAGCGGCAGGCGGGGCCGGACGCGCGGATCGACGGACCGAGCGGCAGCGGCTGCGAGGGAGCGAGCGAGCGAGCGAGGCAGGCGGGGATGTTGCTGCCGCTGCTGCCGCTGGAGAGGTTGCTGAGCGCGCGGGAGCTGCCCGGCGGGAGCCGGCGGTGAGGCGGGCGCCCTGCCTGAGCCAGCAGCATGTCCCGAAAGAAGAGCCCCAAGACCAAGGGCGGCGGCGCCGGCACCGCCTCGGCGCCCTCCTCCGCCCTGCCCGGCCAGGGCTCCCGGGGCGCGGCGCCGACGGCAGCCCCCAAGGGCGCTGCTGGAGCCGGAGCCGGAGCCCGGAGCGCCCCAGCCGCCGCCGCCGGCTCCTCCACCGCCAACGGGGCGGCGCTGCCCAGCCGACCCTCGCTGAGCTCCAGCGGCGAGTTCTACGACGTCGCCTTCAAGGTGAGCTCCGGAGCTCGGCGCCGTCGGGGAGGGGGAACCAGACCCGGGGCGGCGGGTGGAGAGGGCGAGCGAGGCGCCCCAGGCCGTCCCGCGGGTGCGTAAAGGCGCTTGGAGACTTGTGCCAAGAGGGCTCCCAGAGCCATGGAGGGTGGCGGCGTCGTTTTTTTTGGGGGGGGGGGGGGTTCAGGACATCAGAAAGCCAGGCTGTATCTCGCCACCTCATTCAAATTAGATTTATTTTGGCGCGGGGGGGGGATTCTGAGAAAGTAAAAACTTGCACACACCTGTTGCCAATGACCCGTTTGGCAATTAAGCCCCTTTCCATATGCACCTTTTGCTTTGGGGTGTGGGGTGCCTTGTGGCGCTGCGTTCTGCAAAGCTGGCCCCCTCCTGCAGAAGAGGGGTTCAAACCAAGCTTGTTTTGAGTCTCAGATAAGCCCCAGGAGAAGAGTCCGGCTGGTTGGAGGGGGAGGTGTTTAGTCACCCGTCAGCTGCATATTTATGGGACTCCTATGGAGAACACCTGTTGCTTTGCCTCCGGGATGTGGGTGTTTGCTGGTAGACTGCCTCTCTATTTGGAGGTTCCTGGCAGGGAAGATGGCAGCTGTTAGACGTTACCCAGGATTTCATCTGATTCTCTATCTGCCTGTCTTTTTCTTTTCCCCCCCAAAGCTGCCTAAGGCTGCAGCCCTTGCCCCACTTGCCCGGAGTAAACCCCAAAGAATTCAGTAGGATAGGCATGGTTAGGATTGTGCATGGTCGTCATAATGTCTTGTGACAAAGAAGAAGAGAAGAAGAGTTTGGATTTGATATCCCGCTTTATCATTACCCAAAGGAGTCCCAAAGCGGCTAACAATCTCCTTTCCCTTCCTCCCCCACAACAAACACTCTGTGAGGTGAGTGGGGCTGAGAGACTTCAAAGAAGTGTGACTAGCGCAAGGTCACCCAGCAGCTGCATGTGGAGGAGCGGAGACGCGAACCCGGTTCACCAGATTACGAGTCTACCGCTCTTAACCACTATACCACACTGCCTCTCCATCACCCTTTTTTGCTTCCCAATCTTCCTGTGATCCTGAGGTCTAGCTGCTTAACAGGAGAGGGCTGCTCTCCAGAGCACAGAGAGGTTATATAGGAAAGCTGCCAAATAGAAAGCCTCTTCCCCTATTGCAGGTGTGCAGGAATGGAAATTGCTCTTCACATGCTCAGAATGACTGTTGTCTCAGGTGTGAGTCCTGGAGTCAGGGTTTCAGGGGCTGAGCCCTAGATCAGGGGAGGGGGGCTGTGGCCCTACAGAAGTTTCTGGGCTCCCGCTCCCTGGAGAGAATTGGGGAAAATGTTGTGGGCATGGCAATACTCAGCTGTGAGGGGTGTTCTCTGCCAATTAGTCCTTCTCTTTCCTTTCCTTTTTCAGTTTAGAAAGTTGTTAAAAAGCAACAATAGTGAAAGTGAATGGGTGTGTGCTGAGTGTTCCTCCTTAGCCCTTTTCACAGCAGGCCTGCCTATACTGCTGAGATGCCGTTGAGATATTCAGTCAGTCATGATTGACAGAAAAGTTCTGGGTTGCAGCACACCTTCAGCTGTGGGTTGACTCCCTGTTTTCTGAAATATTTGAAGGGCTCTGGTGGGGCACTCAGGTATCCCATTTACTGCACTTTTGCATGCCAGTAAGCAGAGCACATGGGACACGGGTGGCGCTGTGGGTTAAACCACAGAGCCTAGGACTTGCCGATCAGAAGGTTGGTGGTTCAAATCCCCGCGATGGGGTGAGCTCCCATTGCTCGGTCCCTGATCCTGCCAACCTAGCAGTTCGAAAGCATGTCAAAGTGCAAGTAGATAAATAGGTACTGCTTCAACGGGAAAGTGTTTCCATGTGCTGCTCTGGTTTGCCAGAAGCGGCTTAGTCATGCTGGCCACATGACCCAGAAGCTGTACGCTGGCTCCCTCGGCCAATAAAGCGAGATGAGCGCCGCAACCCCAGAGTCGGCCACGACTGGACCTAATGGTCAGGCGTTCCTTTACCTTTACCTTTAAGCAGAGCACATAAAACTCAATAAAATGCGTTTACAATTAAATGTAGAGTAAAAATAATTTAAAATATTAGAAAGCAAACAAATATTTGAAAACATGCCTGTTTGGCACATTTACTACATGCTTGACAGCTGTTTGCATGTTTACTATACGTTTCACAAATGTAGTAAATGTGCAAACATGTAGCAAATGTGCAAAACAGGCATTCAGATGTAGTAAATGTGCCGGCATCTGCATGGTTTGCCTGTTTGCACATTTACTACACATTTGCACATACGTAAATGTCTGTGGAAGGTTGCACAAAAGATGGAATTAGCCTTTGAAATGAATACCACCATACTTTTTCTGCAATGTGTAATAGCCCACCTGCAAGCAAAAGTGATTGCCAAGTTAAATCATGGAGCGAGTGAGGCTGGTGATCAGTTTCCTAGGACTGCAGTTTAGAGAATCTTCTTGTGCCTGTGAGAAGGATTTCATAACTTACTTTCTGTGCCTTAGAGAAGAGTCTTGGAACCATAGAATTGTTGAGTTGGAAGGGACCCCAAGGGTCATCTAGTCCAACCACCATAGCTCAGTGGTAGAGCACCTCCACATGCAGTAGGTCCCAGGTTCAGTCCCGGCATGTCCAGGTAATGTGAGGAATCACTGCCTTCTGAAGTTCTGGAGAGATGCTGCCAGTCTGTGCAGAAAATACTGAGCCAGATTGACCAATGGTCGGACTTGGTATAAAACTGCTTCTTATGTAACAGAAACTACAGAGTTCAGAAAATTAGGATCAGACAAATTAATGGAGGATAAGGGTATCAATGGCTACTAGCCACAATGGCTAGGCTCTCCCTCCAGTGTTGGAGACCATATGCCTCTGAAAGCCAGTTGCTGGAAACACGATTGAGGAGAAGGCTGTTGTGCTTGGGACCTGCTTGCAGGTTCCCCACTGGTTGGCCACTGTGAGAACAGGATGCTGGACTAAATAGGCTCCTTTGGCCTGACCCAGCAGGACTCAGTTTTTACATTTCTTAAATAACACGAGAGTGACCCACAAGCTATACAGATTTACCTGGGAGTAGGGCTCATTGAGTTCTCACCTTGACTCAGTGCACCTTGGCTCAGTGGTAGAGCATCTGCTTCACATGCAGAAGGTCCCGGGTTCAATCCCTGACATCTCCAAGTAGGACTGGGAATGTCCATGAAACCCTGGAGAGCCTCTGCCAGTCAGTAGACAGTACCGAGCTAGACGGACCAGTCGTCTGACTCAGTATAAGCATCCTACATCCTTACAAAGTTCTAGGTAGCCAGAGACAGTCCTGGATGTGAACCCTGGAAGATCTGCTTCCTACCGTGCTGGATTTCCTCCACCTGGTCTGGGAGTAAGGGACTCTGACTGACTCCAGCTACAAAAGCTGCTGAACAGACTCTTATTGGTGTTGGTGTTGTGTTATTATTGATATTAATTTTTGCATCTTTAATTTTAAATCTTAATTATGATTTAATTATGTGGGCGTTGTTTCTATTTGCTTGTGTGCTTTTTGATGTTATATTGTTTACTTTATTATGTAAACTAATTATGTTTCTAATTATGTATTCTTTTCCTAATTATGTATTTTTTTCATGCCGTAAGCTGCCTTGGGCATGATTTTAACATATGGAAAGGTGGCATACCAATAAAATTATGTATGTATGTAGAAGCCCCTGCTTGAAATAATGCCTTGAGTTCAGGATGTGGGCTGCTGTGCAATGCTGCTCTAAACTAGCCTTCCCTGAACTGGCACCCTCCAACAGTGGTACTACAACTCTCCACAATCTCCCTGTTGGCTGAGACTGATGGGAGGTAGAGCACCAAACAACTGAGGTGCTAGGTTGGGGGTGGCTGCTATAAATGTTGTCTGACAGGCCACTGAAATAACTGGGGCCAGAGCAATGAATTCTATCAAAGTCCGTCAGGTCACGATTCTGATTCCAGGCCAGAGCTGCCGTGTGCCCGGCAGAAAACTTGCAGCCTGTCTGGCACGTAGATAGGTTTAAACTGCCAGGAGAGAGAGTTGATTATGAGGCACTGATAGATGAGTTCTCTCTATAAGGAGCTGGAATTGTGTTAAGAGGGCCAGCGCTAACTAGGCAAGCCAGAGGTTGAGGGTGGGGAGGGCAGATATCAATGCAGTAATAGTCGTAGTATAGAATGTGGTTTGAGGATTGTATTGGACCCCTGGATTTGAGGTTCCCCAACCCTGCCCCACTGTTATCCATTCACAGTCTGGTGCGCTAGAAGCAGAGCCGTAGCTAGGTGATCTTGCGCCCCTGGTAGAACCATCCAGATTGCACCCCCTAGCCACAGACAAATTAGCTCTTCTTTCTGCATCTCCTCCAACCCCCCATTCAATTCACCCTCTATTTAAAATTATTTCTTATGAGGCAATAATCAATATTTATATTTATGGACTTTTTTAAGCCTATTTTGCATCCCCAGTCACCTGTGCCCCTGGCGGGGGCCCACCTCACCACCCCCTAGCTACGGCCCTGGCTAGAAGCAGAGAGCCCAGAAGGTAGAGCTTTGTAGCTCCAGGTCACTAGTAGTAAAAGGGGCTTATCCAGCTCTAATCCCCACCCCTCCGTGCCTGTTCTTTTCTCTTTAGGTGATGCTGGTTGGCGACTCCGGGGTTGGCAAGACCTGCCTGCTGGTGCGGTTCAAGGATGGTGCTTTCCTGGCTGGCAGCTTCATCTCTACAGTGGGCATTGATTTCCGGGTAAGGAGATTTTTGGGCGGCTTTGTTCCTTTGCTTCAGCTGCACAGGCCTGACTTCATAACATTTTGGGGGTCGGAGAGTCAAGAATCTGCATGAATAGGGAGCCTAAGCCACCTGGATGTTCATTTGCTGCTCCAGCCTTATAGGAACTGTGTTCTTATGCAAAGGCTTTTGTTTTATTTCAGCACAACTGGGGGACAGGAGGCTGTCTTGGTGGCTGGCACCCTGTAGACCCAATCTGTCTATCCCTTGCCTTTTACCAAGAGCCGCCAGCCCTTGGTGATTGCATGAGATGGTCACAGACCAATGTCAGGGAGCTCTCCTGCCACTTTGTTGGTGGTTTGGCCATGTTGATAGTCACCGTGGTGCTGTAAGGATGGCAAACAACACCTGCCTAGTTTGCAAAAGAAACTCTTTCCGTTCAAAGCTGGTGCCCTGAAGGGTTGTGTGTTTGGAGGACCTCTGAGGGCACTCAATTGTTGCCAGATCAGAGAGCGTGTTGTTCCTTTACTCTGTAATGACCTCCCATTTTCCTGGATTTTACAATTAGGGGAAGCAAACGTTCTCATTGTACATTTTGCAATGAGTTTGTGAATGTCGGTACTGCAGGCAGGGCTGGATTTTGGAGCAGAAGTCCAGGGCCACGTAACCAAGGGGGAACTCAAAGGACCAAGCAAACCAGAACCAGCATCAGCACCTTGAGCCATTGATGGCCTGCCAAGGCCCACTGGGACTGATGCTGGTTGCTGCAACATCTTCTGTTTAATCTTTCTTACTTTTCTAGTTTGGGGCAAGCCTGTCATGAACATGGTTATGGATGCTCACTTTATTGTTTTTTACTTTAAAAATGCATTATTAGTAAATGCATTCTCTGGGCAGCTAGCAATAAATAAGTCTTTATTTAGTGCCATTTGTTGTTCTCCTTACTGTTCTTTCCTCCAACACTTATTGCCAGGGAAGCGAGACCTGTTTTATTCCTGTAGTCCTGAAGGTGCTGTGGCTTAAGTGGATTTTTGAAACTGCTCGTGTTCAGAGTATTTCCTTGTTATCGGAATTGGCTTTTTTACTGCAGTGTCAGGGGTATGGAAGCTGTTGTAAAGCACGGAATGGTGGTGTCGGTTGTGAAGATGAGAGGAAAGTGAATTGTGGGTTTCACAGCTGAAGTAATAATACTTGTGGCTTGTAATACCTTAAAAGCCCAGGGTCTGAAAGTACCTGCCGGCAATGCTAGTTAGTGTTCTCAGTTGCAAATGTCATAACTGAAGTTGTGATGTGGTTAGGAAGATGCTGAAACCCTTCTCTCTTGGAAGAAAACCGTTTGTTCAAGCATGGGTTTGCTTCAAGCAGGTCCATCTGGGTGGATGACTCTGAATTGAACATTTGCCTTTTTAAAAGAAAAACAAAAAACCCTCTCTTATTCTATCTATAGTGATGAGACTATCTATTATGTGGGTGTTCTGAGGTGGTGTAGTGTAGTATCATAAAATAAATAACAAAAAATATACAAATACATTTTGTGTACCAGTACCGCTTTACATACCATTCTCAACCATCTCAGACCCATGAGGCCTTGGTGATGGTGTCCGTCCCCCCCCCCCCCGCCGCATCCCTGTATATAAATACTGTACTATATAGTAAATGGAATGGAATGGAACTGGCTGGTTAAGTCTGCCTGTTGTGATTCTTTGCCTGGCCTCCCTTTAAGTCGTCCACATAGGAGCATAAGAAGAGCTGGCTGGATCAGGCCCATCTAGTCCAGCATCCTGTCCTCACAGTGGCCAAACAGATGCCCCAAAGGGAAGCCTACAAGCCAGACTTTCCAGCATTCATTTGTCTCTCAGGACAGACAGATGCGAATGATTTTTTTGACTCTTAACTTGCCGCAGCTCTCCAGGTTTTCAATTGGGGGTGGGGGTTGGATATTTGCAACCTGACCTAAAGATGCCAGGAATTGAACCTGGCGCCTTCTGCGTGAAAAGCAAGTGCTTCTACCACGTTTTAGACTTTTCTTTTTAAATTTTTTAACTGCACTCTTTCCTATTGCCTTTTGTGTTTCTAAATGGTTTGTGTTTTAGCTAGAGAAGCAACATGCACATTTTATAAATAGCTAAGTGGCTGGAACACACACAGTGTGCATGGCCCAGCTACCATCAATGGTGTGACCTTGTCAGTTTCTTACGAACTGCATCACGGAGCGTTCTGGAGTCGCGGAGCTACAGAACACGAGCTTCCCCCCCCCCTTTTAGTAGCGTCTGCCTTTTATTCTTGCTCTCTTTCCCGTTTCCCCCTGCAGTATCTCTTCAGATCTCTCATTCCTCTTTAAGAGGATTTTGGTGTGATGAGAGTCTCTTTCAAGTTGCAAGGAAGCTGGCCAGCCAGCACCAGATTTTCTCTCTCTCCCTGCCCCCCAGCAATGGTTGCAACCCTGTCGGCTGGTTGCCCATGGAAGGCTTTGCTATGAAATCTCCCCTGCGGTGATTAGGACCTGCAAATGCAGCTAGATCTGGAAATATGTGTGGAGCGTATTGGTTTCATTTATGAATCACCCTCCGTGGGGCAGCCCAAAGTGATTTACAATCTAATAAAAGCATAAAACAGCTTACCTGTGTGAGACCACCTTCCCGCATATATGCCTGCTCAACTGCTTCAATCTGCAGAACTGGCACTGTTTCAATTGCCATATAGCACTCACTTTGCATTTGTAAGGAATCTTTTAGCACGGCAGCACCCACCCTCTGGGACTCCCTGCCACTTGACATCAGACAGGCACCTTCACTGTTCTCAAGCCTACTTAGACAGTGTAGAATGTTGGTGTTTGTTTTAATCTGATTTTGGTTTGTTGCTGATTTTATCTTTTGAATGCCTTAAAGAGTTTTTTTCAAGGATAATTTTATTGTTTTGTTCTCTTCATAAACTGCTTTGAGTTTTTACAATCAAAGGGTGCATAGATTTTATGAGATAAAATAAATAAATAAATACAGAACTGTTAAATATATTAAAACAACTGGAAAACAATTTTATTTTTTCTACATGTCAATTATACGTACCAGCAAGGATATATGTGCTGGCTTCCTGCTGAGCTTTTCTAAAAAAGAATTCCCAGTGAAATGGCAGTTTTTTATAGTAGCTGATCCCTTGGCAGAATGGGACTCAGTTGATTTTGTTGAGCTCCCCAAAACCCTGTTTTCCTTTCATTTGGAGAGGTCTTGCAGCCCGTTTCCTTGTTCCTCACAGGAGATTTTGGCTGATTTGTGGAGGGTGGGACAGTTACGTTCCTGGGCGTCCTCCAGTGATAAATTTCCAGTACCTGAAGTGTATGTGATCTTTGTGATAAATGCCTTTCGTATTTCTAGACTCTATGGGTATGTTAACACAAGCATTGTCCCCAGTTATTTATTTAGTTGTGCACATATAGAGATTTGTCAAAGACTTTGTCAACTTCAAGTGAAGTTTAGGTGGATTTTCTCTCCCCTGTGTATATGTGCCACATACTTCGACTCATTTTATGTTAGTAGTTGTATGATTTTGGTGTTTTATTTTCTGCCGGCTTGTGGCAGGCGAATAAAATTGGATGGATGGCTTGCCAAAGTTCTCAAACCATAAACAAGTCTTGTGGCACCTTAAATCCACTGCAGTACAAACTTTTGTGAAGTACAATCCATTTTATCAGATGTGTGAAATATCATTCTGAGTTACAGGAATCTCTTTGCGTGTTTTTTGGTGAGTAGGTGGGGATTTAAAGCATTAAGATCAGAAGGACATGAAATGCAGAAAAGTGCAGACACTTGCAATTATGTAATTAACTGTGGCCATTCACAGAACAGGTTTGTAAGTCTTTAAGGTGAAAGAAGAGGCTTTCTTGTTTTTCCTGCAACAAACTTAACACAGTTTCCCCTCTGGATGTCTTTCAACCATGTTTCCTAAAAGCTGGAAAAACTAAACTGACCATGATGGTAAATTAGAAATAAGAAAAAACAAACAATGGTATAGCTGCTGCTGCTGCTGCTGCTTCTTTGGCGATCACTTGTAGCCGAGTAAGATTGTCTTCCATAAACACTGTTTTAACAATGAGTCCGTAAGTGACTGTGGAGGCCAATTCTGGATCCACACGTCCTTCCACAGTGGGGACATTGGTTTCTGGGCGGGAGCTGATCACAGTGTGGATTTGCCAAGCGTGCCTTCCTCTTAGCACGTTTCTCCCTTGCGTCCTGAGTTTGAGTGTCTTCAAAGCCCATGACACCTTTAGTAAAGGCTGTTCTCCAACTGGAGCACTCACAGGCCAGTGTTTCCCAGTTGTCAGTGTTTATACTACATTTTTTTAGATTTGCCTTGAGACAGTCTATAAACCCCTTTTGTTGACCACCAGCATTACGCTTTCCATTTTTAAGTTCAGAATAGAGTAGTTGCTTTGGAAGACGATTATCAGGCATCCGCACAACATGACCCTCTCGCTGGATCATCACCTTGTCATGATGAGTGGGCTTGCATGTTCCTATGACCCTTGTGAGCGAAGCCGTTGGGAATCTCGTGCTCCCAGCAGGGTCATCCAAGGCGGTAAGGTCAAAGGGAAGGAGCCAGACAAAGAATGATCCAAGAAGTCCTCAATGGCAGAACAGGCGGATGATAACAAGCGGTATGTTACAATGGCTGTGAAGGCAGATGAAGGCTGCAGCAGATAGGAATCTACCGGTTTGTCGTGACTATTTCATGCCATTGGAACAGAGCCCTACTTCGAAGACTGTGCGTTGATCAGCGTGCACTGATCTACACACATAAAACAGGCACAGGCATCTTCCAAAAACCCAACCCAAAAGTCCCATGGCGATCGGCAGTGGTATAGCAACACCTGGATAGCTCAGTTGGTTAGAGCGTGGTGCTGATAATGCCAAGGTTGCAGGTTCAGTCCCTGTTTGGGACAGCTGTATATACCTGCATTGCAGAAGGCTGGACTAGAATCAGGAGTCAGCAAACTTTTTCAGCAGGGGGCCGGTCCACTGTCCCTCAGACTTTGTGGGGGGCCAGACTATATTTGGGGGGGTGATGAATTCTTTTGCCCCACAAATAACCCAGAGATGCATTTGAAATAAAAGCACACATTCTACTCATGTAAAAACACCAGGCAGGCCCCACAAATAACCCAGAAATGCATTTTAAATAAAAGGACATATTCTACTCATGTAAAAACACGCTGGTTCCTGGATGGTCCGTGGGCTGGATTTATAGGTGATTAGACTGGATCCCTAGGACTAGATGATCCCTAGGGTCTCTTCCAACTCTACGATTCTGTGATCTCAATCTCTGTCTTTGAGTCATCTTACTTCCTTGTTACAGAATGAGTGTGTGGGACAGGGATGGGAACCATCAGGTCCTCTGGACCTTTCTATGTGGCCCTCAATAACTCTCCCCAAGCTGAACCCCTCTCTCCAGGCCCAGACCCTTCACTGGTCCTGCAAGCTTGCCCAGAAGGGAGCCTGCAAAATGTTCCCCACCTCTGGTGTAGCAGATATTTAGCTCGGTGGGATTGTTGCTTTTAAGCCCTCGTTTCATTAAAGGCAGTTGCCAGTGTTGTGTACCATGCAATTATCTGGGACGGATTTCTTCGCTGTTGTGACAAGCCAATCCCAAACAAAAATTTGTCTTCATATTCTATGAATTATTGATTGGGATACCGTTTGGCGGCCTACTTCTGCTGGTGGCAGGCAATAGGATAGCTTGCAATTCTTTCCCCAGCATTTCCAGGGTTGTCTGAATCAGAGGGTGTGGGGAAGGGCCCCTGTGTTTGCACCCTGCAATGTGTTGAGTGGTGATTTGGGTGCAGGCACTAAACAGTATCCAGAAGCTCTTCCCGAGACTGAAAACCCTGGAGAGCTGCTGCCAGTCAGTGTCGACAGTACTGAGCTATATGGGCCAGCTGTCTGACTTGGTCTCAGGCTATGGCTTTGCTGGGGCTGATGGGAGTGGTAGTCCATGCCTCTGGAGGGTACCAGCTTGGGGAAGGTTGCTCTGCCATTCTGCTTGTCCTTTCTGCAGCAGCCCAGTGCCTGATGATCATTTCTGAGATTTGCACATTCGCTTATGAACTGGAGAATTTCGCTTGTTTATGTCGGACAGCTGCAATTGCCCATTGTTCCCGTCCCGATATGAGTTGCAGAACAGGTGAGGCTTGCTCCGGTGGCACAAGGGGGACCTTCCGTCTGCCTGTGTTTTGTGCCTTTAATTTGTTTTTCCACCATCGCAAAAGTGGTGCCTCTATCAGGGAAGATTGAGCTTCTCTGGCTCTGCCTAGGCCTTAATTAACGCATCAATGGGCTGACTGACAAGGTTTGAACTGTGTTTGATTCCTTGCATAATGGAAAGTGAAATAAATTAACACTTTCTCCATAAATGGGAGATAGCAGAGTGACAAAAGTATCAGCACCACCCTCATCTTTGACTTTTTGAAGGCTTTGAAGAGGCACCAAGCTGAGATTGTGAATTGATGCTCCTCCTGCCATAAGAATCAAGCTTCCAGATTAACAGAGTACCATTGGGGGGGGATGGGTTTTTGGGGGTGGGTGGGTGCCCTTTTAATCTGGGGATGAGCTCCAAATGACTTACACTGATGTAAGTGAGCTAGTAGAAACTTACCGGTGCTATTAATTTTCATAGATTTGTGTTGATTTCTGTTACCTGAAACTTTTCTGTACCACTCACCATGTTATTTTGGGCTTGCCAGTCAAAAGGTTGGCAGTTCAAATCCGCACAATGGGGTGAGCTCCCATTGCTCTGTCCCAGCTCCTGCCAACCTAGCAGTTCGAAAGCACGCCAGTGCAAGTAGATAAATAGGTACCGCTGTGGCGGGAAGGTAAACGGTGTTTCCGTGTGCTGCTCTGGTTTCCATCATGGTGTCCCATTGCACCAGAAGCAGTTTAGTCCTATTGGCCACATGTCCCAGAAAGCTGTCTGTGGACAAACACTGGCTCCCACGGCCTGAAAGCGAGACGAGTGCCACAACCCCATAATCACCTTTGACTAGACTTAACTGTCCAGGGGTCTTTTACCATTTTTTACCTTTTGGATTTGTGCAAAGCTCCCATCATCCTTGACCATGGTCCATACTTCATGGGATGTGATGGGAGTTGTAGTCCATAACATCTGATTGGTGAAGGCTGAGCTGGACATTGTTGGCAATATTGTGCTGTGCTTACAGATGCATGGAGGAGAGGCTTACCGATGACTATTAGCCATAATGGCTATGCTCTTTCTCAGCAATTAGAGGCAGCAATGCTTCTGAATACCATTTGCTAGAAACCACAGGAGGGGAGAGTTGCTCTTGTGCCCGGGTCCTGCTCACAGGCTTTCAACTGGGGCATTTGGCTGGACACTGTGAGAACAGGATGCTCTGTTAGATGGGCCACAGGCCTGATCCAGCAGTTGCTTTTTATGCTCTTGCATTGTTATGCATGGAGGATGTAGAGTCCGTTAACAAATCTCAACTAGAGAAGTTATCACATTTTTAAAAAAGGAAGTATTTTCCCCTCCACCTCTCCAAAGTCAGTATTTGTGACAAAATATGCTTGACAGAGCTCTCTTGTGCTTTTCAATCTCTTGCCTAGTATGTTGAGGGATGGGGATGGGAATACCGTATATTTGTTTTATTTTCACCCTGTCTTTCTAATATGGACTGGAGAATGGCTTGCTTTTTGTGGGGTAGGATCCCAGGCAGTTTCCTTTCCAGGCACTTGGCCAGATCTAGGCCTGCTTGGGTTGAGGTGCAAGGCATCCTCTTCTTCTGCCCATGCCTCAGGAACTATAAGACATTTCTCTGGTGGAAAGTTTTCTCAATGCAAAAACTGTCCAGCCATTACAAACAGTCTGATGATGAAGGGGTAGGGTGAGGGTGGGGTCAGGGGAGAGAATCAGAAGGATGAAATTAGCAAATATTCAGCAAGCGGGATTGCATAAGATTGCCATCCAGGCATTCTGTAACCCTCCCCGCACAAATCTGAATTATTCAGCGCAGAGAGTGCCATGGAGGAATCAAATTGTGTTCTTGCCTGATTTAATAGGAGAGATACTGAAACACCAAAATGCACACTTGGAATGACTAATTTGCAAAGACACAGACAAGTGTCTGGATAACGAAGAAACATCCCTAGAATGAATTATTAGATTTGAAGCCTGTAGCTAACTCTTTCTTGTCTCACTGCTGGAACGAGGAGAAGAGATGTGTTTGAAGTAATGGGTTCAGAATTTGCAGGATTTAGAATCTGTGTGCAAGTGTACTTGCATAGCAAGCAAAGGGCGACATCTGGTTATTGGGGGCTTAACTTTCACTCTAACATACTGAGCATGCTTCTAGCCATCATGACTGCAAAGCAGGAATGGTTAACCTGGTGCCCTCCCAGGTGTTGCTGAACTGAAACTCCCATCACCCCAGACCATTGGCCGTGCTGGCTGGGACTGATGGGAGTTGTAGTCCAAAACATCTTGAGGACACCAGGTTGACAAAGGTGAGCTTGTTAAAGTGAGTCTTCCCTTGCCTGAGACCTGTCCATGGTTCTGAAGGATGTGTATCTGAGTGTTCGTACTTTCTAATTTTTGACAGAGTGGCAACCTCTGCCTGTCAGTTCTCCACCCTGCCTGTCTCCTCCAGCTGACTCCCTATCCTAATTTCTCTAGGCTCTTGTGTCCCAGAGGCAAAGTGAGGCAGGCCAGTGAATCATGCAGAAGCACTGCAAGTGGAGAGCTTTGGGGCTCACTGGAGCATTTGATTAAATTTAATTTCTCATGACCTGCTAGCAGTCTTCCCGCAGCACAGTAGCAAGCCTCAGTTTAGGACTTAAGTGCCTAGTTTGTTTATCATCTGCTAGGAACATAGGAAGCTGTACTGAGTCAGACCAATGATCCAGTTCAGTATTGTCTACACTGACTCCAGGGTCTAAGGCAAGGGGTAATTCCTAGTCCTACCTGGAGATGCCAGAGGTTTAACCTGGGTGTCAGAAGCGAGCCAGCAATAAACCACATGGAGTAAGTGAAGTTAACTCCCTTGGAAGAAACAGGATCCACTCAGGAGTGCCAGACTAAAGAGCACAACTCCTCTTCTCAGTAGCTCTTGCCCCTATGAGGGTGGAGGGGAGCTTTTTGCAGCAGAAGGGGGAGACACCCGTGCTTTTTCACCAGCCTGATTCATCTCTGCCTCTTGGCCTCCCTCGTCTCCTGCTTCTGCTGCTGCCTCTGATTTTGGGCTTCTCTCTACCACAGACTCTCCCAGCTCACTAAGCCAGGTGTAGGCAAACTCAGCCCTCCAGATGTTTTGGTACTACAACTCCCATCATCCCTAGCTAACAGGACCAGTGGTCAGGGATGATGGGAACTGTAGTCTCAAAACATCTGGAGGGCTGAGTTTGCCTATGCCTGCACTAAGCCCCTTTGCCTCTTCAGCTTCTGACACCTCTTCCTCCCATTCTTCTCCCTCTGACCACTCATCATCATCCCACCACCAGTCCCCAGGCTCTTTGTCTTCTTCCCTTGGAGGTTCCCCAGCTGGTGTCTCCCACCATTGTTGGAACGAATTCACGACAGACGAGTGGCAGGTGTCATATGAGAGGCGTCTGCCGGGGCAAGCCCCGGGAACTCTCTTTTATTGAATATTACAAACATTGCCACAGGTGTGCTTGTGGCTGATTGGTTGATACAAACACAAAGCAACTTGTTGCTGATTGGTTAACATAAGTACAAGGTGGGAATTACATATAACATTAATCACCGATAGATTAAAGGCTGGGAAACGGAGCTGGAACTAGACAGGCATAAAACCTCCTAATTAAATTATAACTAAAGATTGATATAACATGACTAAAACAATTACTAATGATTGATCATAACATGAAAGAATATAATAATCGAGTTCTGTAGATGTGGTCAGCTATGCATTAA